GTGAAATTTTTGACGTGCGTTTCAGTTCTGACGACGGTGTAGGAATGTGAGACGTGCAAGTCTTTAACCATTAAATATGCAATACTGCGAATAGGAAAGTCAGAAACTCGTTGCCTGTGTCAAGCTCGATCGGGGTCTACCACTTAATACGACATCGTTGTGATGCTGTTGTGGTTCCTTTGCCCAGCCTTATTTGACAGTTGAGTGGTTTAGCGGTTCGAGTAATGTTGAAACAGGCAGATTTGCACACTGAGCACAACTTTTCATCAATTTGCATTTGGTGGTTTTCCCCACGATTTGACGATGCGCTGAATCAAACGCAGCTTTGGGATTAACGACAATGGCACATCAAACAGTAAGCAGGCTGTGGCTCCAATCGGATCCGTTCGTAGCGTTTGTTTGGTCGTTAGCTACGGATGGCGCACGAAAATGTACGCTTAAATGATTGCAGTTTGTCTTAGCGAACAATGCTACCAAATGGCGGTTGATCACGAAGCGGAACAAATCGCAACTCGTCCTCAGCCGTCCAATGATGACTCTAGAAAGACATCGCTCATCATGCTTGTTGCTTTTTCCTTGCTGCGTTGACACGAACATTACAAACAAAAATTGAAACCGTTGTCTTTGTTCAGAAATACGTCTAGATGAACAAACGCCATTTTGTTGTCGTGCATGTCAGTGAAATTGCCGGCGACAACCGTGCCTCGTTTCGCGTCGCTTTCGTCGGCGGCGGACAGATTTCGTCTTAGAGTAGTATCGATGAAATTAGTTAGCAGTTGATGAGGCAACGGCCAACATGAGTGCGGGCCAGACTCATTAGAATTGGGATGCGATTAGGGCGAACGCCGAAACGATTGCTTCTTTTTCGGCGCTGAAGATCCTCGTCTCCAATCACGACTGCATCCGATTCGGCTGTCACTCGATCTCTCGCCGCGGCGCTTATCTGTGCTTTTGATTCGAAGCTGACTGTCGGCCTCGTCACTGGTACATCGGCAGCAGCTTTCCGTCGACTCATGCCACGGTGAAGCGCAGAGCCGGCTAAGTTCTATCGCTTTCGTCTGCGAATATCGGAAGATCGGATTTATGATGGACTTCAGAGTCCACTACCGTCCGTCTCTGCTGAGCTGATTGCGTTCGATTCGTCTCATTTCTTTGAACTTTCGTATGCGATATTTCCCAGTCGCCTGTGGCCGCACAAACGAAACACCGGCTATCTACGAATGACGGAATTCAAATCACAGATTACTCAGAGGTTAGCAGAAATTTATCTAATTGTCAGCGGAGAAAATGGTGCCTTTTCGTGCACAGTCTTGACACAGTGTTCATCGACACCATCAGAGCTGCCGTAGCTTCGACTCTTCGTCGGAGTTCTCCTGAGCCTTGGCTGCTTGTCATCTCGATCACCAGCTTGTCTGAATTCATAACTCGTCAAACGTGCCTGCTGGACTGCTACACGATCCGATGCAAGAGGGACATCGCGATATATCAGCACGTGCGACGCCGTACGGTGTTCACACATTATTCGCGGAAGACATTAAGAAATTCCACTAGCAATTTAATGGTGTCAGTGAAGGGTGCCGTAAACCTTGGTCGAATTTCACCATTCCAAACAAAAATCGCCGAGCTTGGCTTGTCTCGGATTAAATCCGTTACTGTCACCCGAATGCTCAAGGACCCACGCTAATACAAATGCCTGTTTTGTTTGTACAAGTAGCGGTTCGGAGGTAGCCTTTGTGCAACTACGGTCACTAAAATCCGACCACCGACCGTAGTGTCCGTCAGTGCCAAGCTCGCAAGTATGATGTTGATACTGTTGCATTTCATGTCGTCGATGCTAGCTTCGCAACTCGGCTGTCGAATTTAGATTTGGACATACGAGCGTCGGCGACACTAACGACAGAAAGAAAGGCTAGTTACAAGTAAAGTCAAAGAACAACGCGAAAAGACCTCCGGGATTATGCAACGCGCGGCATAGCAAAGGCTCAGCATGCTTTTCCCCTCCCGACCCAATCGATAGAGTGGATCATCATTGGTGGAACATCATCAGAAATAAAAAGAGAGGCATTAGTCATCCAGTCCTGCAATAACTTAGCCGTGATGAAAGATATGAACTCCGCTCGGTTTGGATGAATCTTTTCGATGCTGTGGCCAATAAATCGTTTAACCACCTACCCGGGCCAAAAACATGCCCTGTGGAGCCACGCGTACCAGCCGCTGCGAACAGCATGCCTGCTCCCTAACCTTGAAGAAGACCCGTAAGACACGGACCTAAACGTGGCCATCCGATTGACCGCATTATTTCCTGCGCTGTTTAGAAATAAACCGTGTTTTATGCTGTTTCTCATCTGGACGTATTGCGGTTGTAACCGTAGTCTAGAGGAGGAACGAACAGACCTGCTTTTGTTCCCTTCGTTATGTGCAAGTAGTCATGACTCGGCTGCGCTCATCTTATGATTGCCTAGTTTGAATGCCGATCACGTTGCTTCTCTAATTGTTACCGTATCCGCGTTGTTTCTCTGTTATCTCCATCGTCCTCCAACACTAAACAACTTGTACAACAGAGTGGTCCAGATTGGTGATCTCCGAACCCGTTTGTATAGCATTTCAGATTTTCGTTAGGTGCTGTTTGCTGGTGAGCCCGCTTAAGGTCGCTGTTGGTATGTACAGATAAGGTTAGTATAGATATTGCTTAGAT